ACAAATCAAAATATATTTTATATTTGAGATTATTCAAAGTAGCCACCCTTTGCCTCGATGACTGCTTTGCACACTCTTGGCATTCTCTCAACTAGCTTCATGAGGAATGCTTTTCCAACAGTCTTGAAGGAGTTCCCACATATGCTGAGCACTTGTTGGCTGCTTTTCCTTCACTCTGTGGTCCAACTCATCCCAAACCATCTCAATTGGGTTGAGGTCAGGTGATTGTGGAGGCCAGGTCATCTGATGCAGCACTCCATCACTCTCCGTATTGGTCAAATAGCCCTTACACAGTCTGGAGGTGTGTTTTGGGTCATTGTCCTGTTGAAAAAGAAATGATAGTCCCACTAAGCGCAAACCAGATGGGATGGCATATCGCTGCAGAATGCTGTGGTAGCCATGCTGGTTAAGTGTGCCTTGAATTCTAAATAAATCACTGACAGTGTCACCTGCAAAGCACCCCCACACCATCACACCTCCTCCTCCATGCTTCACGGTGGGAACCACACATGTGGAGATCATCCGTCTACCTACTCTGCGTCTCACATAGATACTGCGGTTGGAACCAAAAATCTCAAATTTGGACTCATCAGACCAAAGGACAGATTTCCACCGGTCTAATGTCCATTGCTTGTGTTTCTTGGCCCAAGCAAGTCTCTTCTTCTTATTGGAGTCCTATAGAAGTGGTTTCTTTGCAGCAATTCGACCATGAAGGCCTGACTCATGCAGTCACCTCTGAGATGTGTCTGTTACTTGAACTCTGTGAAGCATTTATTTGGGCTGCAATTTCTGAGGCTGGTAACTCTAATTAACTTATCCTCTGCAGCAGAGGTAACTCTGGGTCTTCCTTTCCTGTGGTGGTCCTCATGAGAGCCAGTTTCATCATAGCGTTTGATGGTTTTTGCAACTGCACTTGAAGAAACTTTAAAAGTTCTTGACATTTTCCGGATTGACTGACCGTCATGTCTTAAAGTAATGATGGACTATCGTTTCTCTTTGCTTATTTGAGCTGTTCTTGCCATAATATGGACTTGGTCTTTTACCAAATAGGGTTATCTTCTGTATACCACCCCTACCTTGTCACAACACAACTGATTGGCTCAAACGCATTAAGAAGGAAATAAATTCCACAAATTAACTTTTAACAATGCACACCTGTTAATTGTAATGCATTCCAGGTGACTACCTCATGAAGCTGGTTGAGAGAATGCCAAGAGTGTGCAAAGCTCTCATCAAGGCAAAGGGTGGCTACTTTGAAGAACCTCAAAAATAAAATATATTTTGATTTGTTTAACGCATTTTTGGTTACTATATGATTCCATATGTGTTATTTCATAGTTTTGATGTCTTCACTATCATTCTACAATGTAGAAAATAGTAAAAATAATGAAAAACCCTGGAATGAGTAGGTGTGTCCAAACTTTTGACTAGTACTGTATATATATATATACATATATATACATACGTAATTGAAAGGGAAAGCGAAACCACTATCTCAAAACAGAAGGAAGATGAAAATGCATGTGGTGTGCTAATTTATAGTAGTCTACTATACAGTACTCAACTGGCAGACTGTGGTCCGGGTCAGATAAACACACATAAGACATGGAAACATTTGTAGAATTGCAAAAAAGATCTCTGTCCGATGCAAAATGTGTAGAATTTCGCGAAATTGGCTTTAAAACTGCAAAATGTTCACATGGGTTGCGAGGTGGGGGTTTGTTACTATGCCGATAAATGACAATATCCATCCATACCTTTGCCACCTAGGAAATTTGTGTGACCGGACCTTGTTAAATAGTACTTGAGTACCCCTGCAGTAAACTTTATACCTCAAATAAGTTTTAGAGGCTGTCTTACATCCTGTAGACATCCAGAAGGATAATGTATTTTTCTCCCCTCAACTTGTGCTAAGCTCTGTGAATTTAGCAGCACACCAGCAGACTGAGCGGGAGGGAGGGAGGGGAAAAAGGGCTGGAAGTGTAAATGGATGACAGTGAGTAGGAGGAATGTGAAACATTTCTGATCCCGCTCCAGTGACTGTTTACACGGCTGTCAGCTCTGTGACATCACAGCAGAGACTTTATAAATGTCACCCATGCAGAGGAATGAGTAGTTAGCCAACAGCAAGCAGCACTGTTAGCTAGCTAGCACCACTACCATCAACTTCATCACTTAGAGGTTAGACAGACACAACAGAGCAGTCCAATCAACCTACGGTCGTTTCAATGGAGATTTCAAGACAACTCAGTGACACTGTGATAGCCTTGGGTTTACTGCTCTGTATTGGTGCACTCCAGGTGAGGCCATACTGCTATTCTGCTTTTCTCTTTGTGTGTATCTGGAGGTGAACTGTACCTGTATCTTACACCTGTTGCTCAGGATGTGGACTGTCTGTGGAGATCAATGTGACTGCATTCCATTGACTGATTCCATTTGTTCCATGGAAAGATCTATCAGAAGCTTCCAGGTGGCTGTGGTTGAAGATTAAACTAAATCTGTAGAATTGATAGTTTTGATAGAACTGATTGTTTGTTTTTATGCCAGTGTTGTTTTTATTAGTAACTTACTCTAGAGCCAATTTGTAATATTTGTAACTTACTCTATAGAACATTTGTAATATTTGTAACTTACTCTATAGAACATTTGTAATATTTGTAACCTACTCTAGAGCCAATTTGTAATATTTGTAACTTACTCTAGAGCCAATTTGTAATATTTGTAACTTACTCTAGAGCGAATTTGTAATATTTGTAACTTACTCGAGCCAATTTGTAATATTTGTAACTTACTCTATAGATCATTTGTAATATTTGTAACTTACTGTATAGAACATTTGTAATATTTGTAACTTACTGTATAGAACATTTGTAATATTTGTAACTTACTCTAGAGCCAATTTGTAATATTTGTAACTTACTCTAGAGCCAATTTGTAATATTTGTAACTTACTCTAGAGCCAATTTGTAATATTTGTAACTTACTCTATAGAACATTTGTAATATTTGTAACTTACTCTAGAGCCAATTTGTAATATGTGTAACTTACTCTAGAGCCAATTTGTAATATTTGTAACTTACTCTATAGAACATTTGTAATATTTCTAACTTACTCTAGAGCCAATTTGTAATATTTGTAACTTACTCGAGCCAATTTGTAATATTTGTAACTTACTCTATAGATCATTTGTAATATTTGTAACTTACTGTATAGAACATTTGTAATATTTGTAACTTACTGTATAGAACATTTGTAATATTCGTAACTTACTCTAGAGCCAATTTGTAATATTTGTAACTTACTCTATAGAACATTTGTAATATTTGTAACTTACTCTAGAGCCAATTTGTAATATTTGTAACTTACTCTAGAGCCAATTTGTAATATGTGTAACTTACTCTATAGAACATTTGTAATATTTGTAACTTACTCTAGAGCCAATTTGTAATATTTGTAACTTACACTAGAGCCAATTTGTAATATTTGTAACTTACTCTATAGAACATTTGTAATATTTGTAACTTACTCTATAGCCAATTTGTAATATTTGTAACTTTATAGCCAATTTGTAATTTTTGTAACTTACTCTAGAGCCAATTTGTAATATTTGTAACTTATTCTATAGCCGATTTGTAATATTTGTAACTTACTCTATAGCCAATTTGTAACTTACTCTATAGCCAAGTTGTAATATTTGTAACTTATTCTATAGCCGATTTGCAATATTTGTAACTTACTCTAGAGCCAATTTGTCATTTTTATAACTTACTCTAGAGCCAATTTGTAATATTTGTAACTTACTCTAGAGCCAATTTGTAATATTTGTAACTTACTCTATAGAACATTTGTAATATTTGTAACTTACTCTAGAGCCAATTTGTAATATTTGTAACTTACTCTAGAGCCAATTTGTAATATTTGTAACTTACTCTATAGAACATTTGTAATATTTCTAACTTACTCTAGAGCCAATTTGTAATATTTGTAACTTACTCGAGCCAATTTGTAATATTTGTAACTTACTCTATAGATCATTTTTAATATTTGTAACTTACTGTATAGTACATTTGTAATATTTGTAACTTACTGTATAGAACATTTGTAATATTCGTAACCTACTCTAGAGCCAATTTGTAATATTTGTAACTTACTCTAGAGCCAATTTGTAATATTTGTAACTTACTCTAGAGCCAATTTGTAATATTTGTAACTTACTCTATAGAACATTTGTAATATTTGTAACTTACTCTAGAGCCAATTTGTAATATTTGTAACTTACACTAGAGCCAATTTGTAATATTTGTAACTTACTCTATAGAACATTTGTAATATTTGTAACTTACTCTATAGCCAATTTGTAATATTTGTAACTTTATAGCCAATTTGTAATTTTTGTAACTTACTCTAGAGCCAATTTGTAATATTTGTAACTTATTCTATAGCCGATTTGTAATATTTGTAACTTACTCTATAGCCAATTTGTAACTTACTCTATAGCCAAGTTGTAATATTTGTAACTTATTCTATAGCCGATTTGCAATATTTGTAACTTACTCTAGAGCCAATTTGTCATTTTTATAACTTACTCTAGAGACAATTTGTAATATTTGTAACTTACTCGATAGCCAATTTGTAACTTACTCTATAGCCAAGTTGTAATATTTGTAACTTATTCTATAGCCGATTTGTAATATTTGTACAAGAAGCTATTCATTGCATGATGTACCAGTATTGTACAATGCATATTACTTTATTTTTGTGTATTTTGTTATTTAGAATGGCCTAAACATTTTTTTTTTGCATTTTTGTACACTTTGATCATCATGAATAATAATGATCAACATTGGTAAATATGGATGAATGAAGAATATTGTGAATGTTTGATGTTCTATTGTATAGTTGCCACAGAGAATCGTTTGAGATGACAAATTATGTTTAAAACAATTGTAGAGTCCAAGGGAGGAATGAGATTGCTCCGTCAGTGAATAATTGAGGCCAGTATGTCCAAAGGCTGCCTGCTGTGGGTTGGCTCCATTAACTGCATGTAATTGAAAACAGGAGTATTTTGACTAGACAGTGTTGGACATAGTGTTCCCCAGACAAAGCACTTCTACCAAATACACATGCTATCAGTTGGTCAAAGAAAGGATGTTTTATTTCAGAACATAACTGCAGCATTTTTCAACTATGATGATGATGTTGATAACGATTATGATGATGGCGACAATGAAGACTATGATAATAATAATAATGATGAAGATGATAATGATGATGACGACAACAACAACAACAACTGACCTCCTACTTCTCTTGCTCTAACCTCAGCCTGCTCTAACCTTTGCCCCCTGTGTTACTCTAGGTGTGGTGTCAGCTATGCCCGGGCCCATGCCAGTGCCCCAGCCCCGTGCCCCTGTGCCCAGCTGGAGTCCCTCTGGTCCTGGATGGCTGCCAGTGCTGCCAGGTGTGTGCCCGGCAGCAGGGGGAGGCCTGCAGTGATCTGTACGTGTGTGATAGCCAGCGAGGACTGCAGTGTGACTACAGCGCCAGCTTCCCCAGCGACCCTGGAGAGTGTTCCAGTGAGTGCCAATTGTTTATTGACTTTCAGTCATAAGCAAACACAACAGTGCCACCCTTCCTAACAGTAAACCAGCAGACTCTGCCCAAGCCAAACCCAGGCCTGAAAGATTCAGAGTCAGATAAACAGTATAGACCAGGTGTGGTTTGGCTTTGCAGTCTGTGTCTGTGTGGGTGGGACAAACAGACAACTATTTTCTAACACTAAACAACCAACCTCTGCCCATGACAATAAGCATATAAAGGGAGGGGGTTTGAAGCTGCACTCTATCTGAATGTCTGTATGTATGAGAGGGCCAAACAGACACTCTGTTTAGGGCCTATACTCAGCCAGCCAGCCAGCCGCAGAGCGGAGGGGCTTTAGTTTGACTGTATTCCAAAACATCTCAACCTCTATTTTCAGTGGTGGTGTTGACACACTTCCCCTGATGACTGCCCACTGAGAATGATAGATTGCAGAGACAACACACATGGATTGCAAAACAGACTCCTCAGTCTCCCCAGGCCTGGACTGTGTCCCAAATGGCACCCTATTCCCTACATAGTGTACTACTTTTGACCAGAGCAGTGCACTTAATAGGGAGTAGGGTGCCATTTGGGACACAGCCTGGTTTCCCATAACATCACATAACAACCCACAGGCTTGGCAGTAGACATGAGCCTCTTGTGTTCTTACCTCGCTCTCACACAAGCTCTGTAACTCTGTCTCTCTCTCTCCTTCTCTCTGTCTCTCTCTCTCTCTCCCTTTCTCTCTCTCTCTCTCTGTCTCTCTCTCTCTCTCTCTCTCTCTCTCTCTCTCTCTCTCTCTCTCTCTCTCGGTTTGAGGTTTTCCTTTCCTAATTGTATTTCCTCCAGACCAGAGCAGGGGCCATGTTCCAGGGTATGGGTTAGGGTTAGGGTGGGGCTGCCAGTCCAGGGTAAGGAGCCTAAGAGGATCTCTCTGTCCTGTTCCCACATCATACTGGGGTTCAAATACTATTTGAAATCATTTCAAATACTTTATATGTGCTTGATTGAGCTTGCCTGGCTTGATGGAGCAATAGAATAGTCCCAAAAATGCAAACCCAGCCCATCTGGACTCCAGGCAGGTTAGAGCAAACGCTCAAAGTATTTGATAGATTTCAAATAGTATTTGAACACAGGTCTGTTCTGTTCATACCCATCCAGGTCAGGAGTTGGGCTGTGAGCTGAATGGGGTTTCCTACCTGGATGGCCAGGTGTTCCAGCCCTCCTGTGCCACCCAGTGCCGCTGCCTGGGGGGAGGGGTGACCTGCGTGCCCCTGTGCCCTGAGGACGTCCGTCTGCCCAGCCCAGACTGCCCACACCCCCAGCGGGTACAGCTGCCTGGGAAGTGCTGCAAGGAGTGGGTGTGTGAGAACATGGACAATACCATAATTCAGGATGCCATCACAGGTAACATCAGGCTTGGATAACAGTCATACACTTGCCTGGTCCCAGATCTGTTTGTGCTGTATAGCCCACTACTATGGTGGTTGTCATTGGCTATACAGTACAAACAGATCTGGGACCAGGCTAGTCATCCTCTGTTCTGACGCAGGTTTCTGCTACATCTTTAAACTGGACCATCTTTAAAGGACACTGTGGATTCCAAACGTTATTTTCTGGTTTTAGACAAGCAACTTCACATATATAAGGAATTGTTCACACACAATTGGATACCACAATGACAAATGTTATTTTGTTGATCAAGCTGTAGGACAATATTTAGCATCCCACATTTATTTGAGCTCTGTCACTGACACTCACAGTCTGACGTCTTTTATTGACGGATCTTTAGCATTTTATTGGGGTGAGTCTGGCCAAATGAAAAGACACAATGTCCAAATATAACCGCAGCATTTCATTGGAAAAGTCTGGCCAGATGAAGATGCACATTATTGTTAAAATAATAAGCCCTCTTCCAGTGGACCATGTTTCCTATGTGTGCGTCCCAAATGGCACCCTATTCGCTATATAGTTCACTACTTTTGATCAAAACCGATAGTGCTCTATATAGGGAATAGGGTGCCATTTGGGACAAATCCCTAGTTTCATAACAAGACGCATGGCTAGGCTACACAACAATGAAACATAAGAAGCCCAAGGAGTCTGAAATAGTAGGTTAGGAAAATAAAACCACTAAGAAAATAAAACATCTATAATTTCTGACGCTGTCACCTAATCAAGCTATATCAATAGCTATGGAACATTTTGTTCTGAGTGTTCTAGAATTTCAAAGCCTTGACCTTTTTCCGTACTGTGTTAGAGAAACACAGCTGATCAAAAAAAACAGCTGATTATTATGACTCACAGATCCGACCGGAGATACTATCTCCATTGATAACACTGCTTTTCTGTGATATAAAAATACAAAAAGTTCCTGTCCAATTTGAGGCCATTTGAGTCAATAAGAGACATTATGACATCTGAAACACGCTGATAAAAAAAATATATATTAACAGGGAATTCATGTCAGATTACATTTTACATTACATTTTCGTCATTTAGCAGACGCTCTTATCCAGAGCGACTTACAAATTGGTGCATTCACCTTATGATAGCCAGTGGGACAACCACTTTACAATTGTAATTATTTTATTTTATTTATTTTTTGGGGGGTGGGGTAAGGGGGGGTAGAAGGATTACTTTATCCTATCCCAGGTATTCCTTAAAGAGGTGGGGTTTCAAGTGTCTCCGGAAGGTGGCGAGTGACTCCGCTGTCCTGGCGTCGTGAGGGACCTTGTTCCACCATTGGGGTGCCAGAGCAGCGAACAGTTTTGACTGGGCTGAGCGGGAACTGTGCTTCCACAGAGGTAGGGGAGCCAGTAGGCCAGAAGTGGATGAATGCAATGCCCTCGTTTGGGTGTAGGGACTGATCAGAGCCTGAAGGTACGGAGGTGCCGTTCCCCTTGCAGCTCCGTAGGCAAGCACCATGGTCTTGTAGCAGATGCGAGCTTCAACTGGAAGCCAGTGGAGTGTGCGGAGGAGCGGGGTGACGTGAGAGAACTTGGGAAGGTCGAACACCACACGGGCTGCGGCGTTCTGGATGAGTTGTAGGGGTTTAATGGCACAGGCAGGGAGCCCAGCCAACAGCGAGTTGCAGTAATCCAGACGGGAGATGACAAGTGCCTGGATTAGGACCTGTGCCGCTTCCTATGTAAGGCATGGTCGTACTCTGCAAATGTTGTAGCATGAACCTACAGGATCGGGTCACCGCCTTGATGTTTTTTTTTTTTTTTTTTTGGGATGGATCAGCTTAATATTGCAGATAGATTGTATCTTCTATCAATGTAATTGTCTGCATCACTTCCAATCCCCCATGTTTTTTATATATACTCCCCTTTATTACTTTTCAACCCCGCCATCCTTTCCCTACTTGGAGTAAATTAGTGAACAACAATGCCCAGGCCTCTACTTCCGGTCTATACTTACTATCTACACCTTATGGACAGAGTTAATTTTACAATAATTCTATTATATATATATATATATATATATTTATTTTTTTGGCTCCTGCACCGCCTTGATGTTAGCGGAGAACGACAGGGTGTTGTCCAGGGTCACGCCAAGGCTCTTTGCACTCTGGGAGGAGGACACAACGGAGTTGTCAACCATGATGTCGAGATGAGTTTGTTTGGCTCTGATTGAATTGTTAACAGCTGGATGTCGTGACAAGTCAGTAATTCCTCATTGTCCTGTTAGTGTGCCTTCTCGAAGCGCACTGCTGTTATTCCCCATATTTCTTCTTATTTTTTTTTAGACAGCAATCAAGTATTCTTCAGGAAATTCACCATTCAGTCTCATTCTCTTCTGGCCTCCTCTCTCCAGCCTCCAGATCAGACAGGTTGTGGCCAGACCTGTCTGGTCCTCAGCAGAACCCAACCTTCAACTGTATAGACCAGAGTACAGAGTGGAGTGTCTGCTCCCGGACTTGTGGCGTTGGGGTCTCCACGCGGGTCTCCAACAAGAACCCAGCCTGCCGGCTCGAGATGCAGAGCCGTCTTTGTAAGGTCCGGCCCTGTCAGGCACTCCAGCCACGCAGAAGCCCCATGGTGAGCCCATACCTGCCTATATAACCTCTTGTAACCCACTCCCCAACTGGCTTTGGCTATGTCAACAGGGATATTAGGTTATGTCACCAGGGATATTAGGTTATGTCAACAGGGATATTAGGTTATGTCACCAGGGATATTAGGTTATGTCAACAGGGACATTAGGTTATGTCACCAGGGATATTAGGTTATGTCAACAGGGACATTAAGTTATGTCACCAGGGATATTAGGTTATGTCAACAGGGATATTAAATTATGTCAACAGGGATTTTAGGTTATGTCAACAGGGATATTAGGCTATGTCAACAGGGATATTAGGTTATGGCAACAGGGATGTTAGGTTATGTCAACAGGGACATTAGGTTATATCAACAGGGATATTAGGTTATGTCAACCGGGATATTAAGTTATGTCAACAGGGATATTAAGTTATGTCAACAGGGATATTAGATTATTTCAACAGGGAAATTAGGTTATGTCACCATGGATGTTAGGTTATGTCAACAGGGATATTAGGTTATGTCAACAGGGATATTAGATTATGGCAACAGGGATATTAGGTTATGTCAAAAGGGATTTTCGGTTATATCAACAGGGATATTAGGTTATGTCAACCGGGATATTAAGTTATGTCAATAGGGATATTAGGTTATGTCAACAGGGATATTAGGTTATGTCAACAGGGATATTAGGTTATGTCAAAAGGGATATTAGGTTACGTCACAGGGATATTAGATATGTCAACAGGGATATTAAGTTATGTCAACAGGGATATTAGATTATTTCAACTGGGAAATTAGGTTATGTCAACATGGATATTAGGTTATGTCAACAAGGATATTAGGTTATGTCAACAGGGATATTAGATTATGGCAACAGGGATATTAGGTTATGTCAAAAGGGATTTGCGGTTATATCAACAGGGATATTAGGTTATGTCAACGGGGATAGTATGTTATGTCACAGGGATATTAGGTTATGTCAACAGGGATATTAGGTTATGTCAACAGGGATATTAGGTTATGTCAACCGGGATATTAAGTTATATCAACAGGGACATTAGGTTATGTCAACAGGGATATTAGATTATGTGAACAGGGATATTAGATTATGTCAACAGGGATAGTAGGTTATGTCATCAGGGACAATTGTCATGACTTCCGCCGAGGCTGCCTCCCCTCCTTGTTCGGGCAGGTTTCGGCGTTCGTCGTCACCAGCTTACTAGCTGCTGCCGATCCATTTATCATCACTCCACTTAATCAAACACACCTGGTCCTTATCCCCAATTAGTCATTGTATTAGTGTTCCCTCTGCTTCCTTGTCTGTGTGGGTGATTGTTTGTTGTGAGCTGTGTGTAGCTCAGTTGAGCTACCCTTACCTTGTTTGTTTGCCAGGGTAGATATTTCCCCTGTGCCTGAGTTTTGTTGTCGCATGCTTGCGCAACTGTTTATTGACGGAATAAACTTTTTGGATGCGTTTTACTCTCCTGCGCCTGACTCCTTCTATCACACGCATCACAGAACCACCCACCTTGCTATGGAGTCAGCAGGAGAAGAGCGCATGCCTGGAGTCATGGCACAGGTCCAGGAGCACTCCACGATGCTGGCCAGCTTGGGGGAAGCGATGGATCAGGTTCTTCAGGTCGTCCAATGCCTGGAGAGGAACAGACCCGATCTGTCGAGACCAGCTGGCCAACCGGATCCAGCCACCTACACCCTAGCACCAGGAGTGATCCAGATATCCCGACCATGGGCGTTTGAGGGGACAGCGGCGCTGTGCCAGGGATTCCTCCTCCAATTGGAGCTTTACTTCGCCAGCATCAGGCCGGAATCATCTGAGCGGGAGAAGGTGTCCGTCCTCGTTTCCTACCTCTGTGGGAAAGCCCTGGAGTGGGCCAACGCGGTGTGGAACGAAGGAGGCGCTGCGTTGGAGGACTACAGGGAGTTCGCTCGCCTCTTTCGGGCGGTATTCGACCACCTGCCCGAGGGTCGAGAGGCGGGTGAGCGACTGGTCCACCTGAGGCAGGGGACGAGGACCGCGCAGGACTTCGCGTTGGAGTTCCGGAAGCTGGCAGCGGGATCCGGGTGGAACGAGTGGGCCCTAATCGACCATTTCTGGTGCCATCTGCGGGAGGACGTCCGACGGGAGCTAGCCTGCCGGGACACCATGTTGTCCTTCGATAAACTGGTGGACATGGCCATTCGGTTGGACAACCTGCTGGCAGCCAGAGGACGTCCTGGTAGGGGTCTGCCCGTTTTCACCCCGGAAGACTTGGACCTCCAGCCGATGGAGCTGGGTGGAGCCGCCAGCCGAGAGAGCGGAGGAGGACAGCGACAGTGCCACTCTGGTGGCACGAAGGGACAATCCACCACACGCCGTAGTCAACGTTATTTTGGTCCTGGAGGCGGCAGGCACGGCACTCACGCATCACCCCAGGTATCGAACACCCACACTCGTTCAGAGCCCTCTGCTGCGCACTGTAAAATACTAATCTCCTTTCCTGAGCACATGGATGTTCCCCAGTGTAAGGCGCTAGTCGATTCAGGCGCAGCTGGGAACTTTATGGACAGGGCATTCGCACACCGTATAGGCATTCCATTGATTCCCCTATCCATTCCACGCCCCATCAGAGCACTTGATAGTTGACCATTAGGGTCCGAGTTGGTTAAGGAAGTTACTGCACCAGTCACCATGATTACCCAGGAGAATCATTGTGAGCAGGTGACGTTTTCCATTATTGAGTCTCCTGCTTTGCCTGTGGTATTAGGTATCCCTTGGCTAGCACTCCACAACCCCACCTTTTCATGGCCGCAGAGGGTTCTCACGGGGTGGTCGCGAGAGTGTCAGGGTAGGTGTCTAGGTGTTTCCGTTGGTGCAACCACGGTGGAAAGTCCAGACAGTACCTCCACTGTGCACATTCCCCCTGAATACCTAGATCTGGCGCAAGCGTTCTCTAAAACGCAGGCTACTAAATTACCACCTCATCGGGCGGGGGATTGCGCGATAAACCTCCGGGTAGACGCTGTACCTCCCAGGAGTCATATATACCCCCTGTCACAGGCTGAAACGGTGGCTATGGAAACATATGTCACCTTGTCCCTGCGCCAGGGGTATATATGTCCCTCCACTTCACCCGCCTCCTTGAGATTCTTCTTTGAGAAGAAGAAGGATGGAGGTCTGCGCCCGTGCATTGATTATCGACCACTGAACAGGGAGACAATAAGATGTAGTTATCCTCTCCCCCTCATTCCTTCAGTGATTGAATCAATGCATGGGGCACGCTTCTTCACCAAATTAGATCTCAGGAGTGCGTTCAACCTGGTGTGTATCCGAGAGGGAGATGAGTGGAAGACAGCATTCAGCACAACCACGGGGCATTATGAATACCTGGTGATGCCCTATGGTTTGATGAATGCTCCCTCAGTTTTCCAGTCCTTTGTGAACGAGGTGTTTCGGGACATGCTTGGTCGCGGTGTAGTGGTCTACATCGATGACATCCTGGTGTATTCTGCTACGCGAGCCGAGCATGTGTCCCTGGTTCGCAAGGTGCTGGCCCGACTGTTGGAAAATAACCTTTATGCTAAAGCAGAGAAGTGTATGTTTTTCCAGCAGTCCTTCTCTTTCCTTGGATATCGCATTTCCACCTCAGGTGTGGAGATGGAGGGAGATCACATTTCAGCCGTGCGTAATTGGCCGACTCCAACCACAGTTAAGGAGGTGCAGCGCTTCCTTGGCTTTGCCAACTATTATCTGAGGTTTATCAAGGGCTTTGGCAAGGTCGCAGCTCCCATTACCTCCCTGTTGAAGGGTGGGCCGTCCCGGCTCCGCTGGTCTGCTGAGGCTGACCTGGCCTTTAGCAAACTGCAGGGTCTGTTCACCTCAGCCCCAGTACTGGCCCACCCCGATTCATCACTACCGTTCGTAGTGGAGGTGGATGCGTCCGAGGTTGGGATAGGAGCTGAACTGTCTCAACGCTCGGGTACGCCACCCGAGCAGAACTACGGCGTTGGTGATCGGGAGCTGTTGGCTGTTGTTCGAGCCTTGACCGTGTGGAGGCATTGGCTCGAGGGGGGAAAACACCCTTTCCTCGTCTGGATGGACCACCGTAACCTGGAGTACATCCGGCCAGCGAGGAGGCTGAATCCTCGCCAGGCCAGGTGGGCCCTATTTGAGTTTACACTGTCATATATTCCGGGTACGAAGAACGTGAAGGTAGACGCGCTGTCCTGGCTGTATGACACAGAGGAGAGGCCCAGAGACAACACTCCCATACTGCCTGCCTCCTGCATTGTAGCGCCGGTAGTATGGGCGATGGACGCGGATATAGAGCAGGCATTACGCATGGATCCCTCTCCACCTCAGTGTCCAGATGGGCTGCAGTACGTGCATGCTCTTATCCGTGATCGTCTGATCTACTGAGCACACACGTCACTCTCCTCTGGTCACCCAGGTATCAGCCGTACAGTGCACTGCCTGAGCGGAAATACTGGTGGCCTACCTTGGCTAAGGACGTGAGGGTGTACGTCTCCTCCTGCTTGGTGTGCGCCCAGAGCAAGGCACCTAGGCACCTCCCAGCGGGTAAGCTACAACTGTTACCAGTTCCACAACGACCATGGTCTCACCTTAGCATTGATTTTCTAACTGATCTTCCCCTCTCCCAAGGTAACACCACCATCCTGGTCGTTGTGGACCGCTTCTCCAAGTCCTGCCGCCTCCTTCCTCTGCCCGGTCTCCCCACGGCTCTGCAGACTGCGGAGGCCCTGTTTACTCACGTCTTCCGGCACTACGGGGTACCAGAGGATATAGTGTCTGACCAGGGTCCCCAGTTCACGTCCAAGGTCTGGAAGGCGTTCATGGAACGTCTGGGGGTCTCGGTCAGCCTGACCTCTGGGTTCCACCCCGAGAGTAATGGGCAGGTGGAACGGGTAAATCAGGATGTAGGTAGGTTCCTGCGGTCCTACTGCCAGGACCGGCTGGGGGAGTGGTCGGTGCCCAGAACTCTCTCCGCCACTCCTCCACTAACCTAACTCCTTTCCAATGTGTTCTAGGTTATCAACCGGTTCTGGCACCGTGGCACCAGAGACAGACCGAGGCTCCTGCGGTGGATGACTGGTTTCAGTGCGCGGAGGAGACGTGGGATGCTACCCACGTTCACCTCCAACGCGCCATGGGTCTTCAGAAGGCCAACGCTGACCGCCACCGCAGTGAGGCCCCCGTCTTTGTACCGGGGGATCGGGTCTGGCTCTCGACCCGGAATCTGCCCCTCCGCCTGCCCTGCCGGAAGCTGAGCCCGCGGTTTGTTGGGCCGTTCAAAGTTCTGAGGAGAGTCAACGAGGTCACAAAGAGGTTATTACTTCCCCCTGATTACCGTATTAAACCCTCGTTTCATGTGTCTCTCCTCAGGCCGGTGGTAGCTGGTCCGCTCCAGGAGTCTGAAGTGCGGGAGGTCCCTCCACCTCCTCTGGACATCGAGGGGGCCCCGGCATACTCGGTCCGTTCCATCCTGGATTCGAGGTGTTGGGTGGGGGGCCTTCAGTACCTCGTGGAGTGGGAGGGGTACGGTCCGGAGGAACGGTGCGGGGTCCCGGTGAGGGATATCCGGCTCGCCCTGCTCCGCGTCCTCCTGGCTGTCCCCGAGGCCGGGGTCGGCGCGCTACTGGAGCCTTGCGTCAATGGGGTACTGTCACGACTTCCGCCGAGGCTGCCTCCCCTCCTTGTTTGGGCAGGTTTCGGCGTTCGTCGTCACCGGCTTACTAGCTGCTGGTGATCCATTTATCATCACTCCACTTGTCTTGTCTAATTATTCACACACACCTTCCTTGTCTGTGTGGGTGATTGTTTGTTGTGAGCTGTGTGTAGCTCGGTTGAGCTACCCTTACCTTGTTTGTTTACCAGTGTAGATATTTCCCCTGTGCCTGAGTTTTGTTGTCGCATGCTTGGGCAACTGTTTATCGACGGAATAAACTTTTTGGATGCATATTACTCTCCTGCGCCTGACTCCTTCTATCACATGCATCAAAACATTAGGTAATGTCAACAGGGATATTAGGTTATGTCAACAGGGATATTAGGTTATGTCAACAGGGATATTAAGTTATGTCAACATGGATATTAGGTTACGTCAACAGGGATATTAAATTATGACAACAGGGATATTAGTTTATTCAACAGGGACAGTAGGTTATGTCAACTAGGATATTAAGTTATGTTAACAGGAATATTAGGTTATGGCAACAGGGATATTAGGTTATGGCAACTAGTATATTAGGTTATGTCAACAGGGATGTTAGGTTATGTCAACACGGATATTAGATAATGTCAACAGGGATATTAGATTATGACAACAGGGATATTAGATTATGTCAACAGGGACATTAGGTTATTTCAACAGGGATATTAGGTTATGTCAACAGGCACATTAGGTTATGTCAACAGGGATATTAAGTTATGTCAACAGGGATATTAGGTTATGTCAAAAGGGATATTAGGTTATTTCAACAGGGATATTAGGTTATGTCAACAGAGATATTAGATTATGTCAACAGGGATATTAGGTTATGTCAACAGGGATTTTAGGTTATGTCAATAAGGATATTAGGTTATGTCAACCGGGATATTAAGTTTTGTCAACAGGGATGATATGTTATGTCAACAGGGATATTAGATTATGTCAACATGGATATTAGGTTATGTCAACAGGGATATTAGGTTACGTCAACAGGGACATTAGGTTATGTCAACAGGGATATTAGGTTATGTCAACAGGGATATTAGGTTATGTCAACAGGGATATTAGGTTACGTCAACAGGGACATTAGGTTATGTCAACAGGGATATTAGGTTATGTCAACAGGGATAGTAGGCTATGTCAACAATAATATAATAATATGCCATTTAGCAGATGCTTTTATCCAAAGCAACCTACAGTCATGTGTGCATACATTTTTATGTATGGGTGGTCACAGGATCGAACCCACTACCCTGGCGTTACAAGCGCCATGCTCTACCAATTGAGCTACAGAGGACCACAGGGATATTAGATTATGTCAACAGGGATATTAGATTATGTCAACATGGATATTAGGTTATGTCAACAGGGATATTAGGTTATGTCAACAGGGATATTAGGTTATGTCAACAGAGATATTAGGTTATGTAAACAGGGATATTAGGTTATGTCAACAGTGATATTAGGTTATGTCAACAGGGATATTAGATTATGTCAACAGGGGTATTAGGTTATGTCAACAGGCATATTATATTATGTCAACAGGGATAATAGTTTATGTCAACAGTGATATTATGTTATGTCAACAGGGATACTAGGTTATTTCAACAGGGATATTAGATTATTTCAACAGGGATATTAGGCTTTGTCTACAGGGATATTAGGTTTTGTCAACAGGCCTATTATATTATGTCAGCAGGGATGTTAGGTTATGGCAACAGGGATATTAGGTTATGTCATCAGGGGTATTAGGTTATTTCAACAGGGATATTAGGTTATTGCAACAGGGATATTATATAAGGTCAACAGGACCCATGCCATGCGTAGGCCTCATATGTTTTAAAATGTTCTTGTCACCTCGACTCTAATGTAAAGTGTGCAGTCCTTTATTAAATGGCCGTTCTGTCTGGTCTGGCGTATGCTTGTGTTGGAAAAGCATGTGCTATGTGTACAACATTGTACAAAAAAGTATGTATTATGGTGTTATATATTTTCTTCAATAAGTGCATTTGAGTTCATTCCTAATTTAATAAAACATAAATGAACCTCTATTCTCAGCAGCCATGAGCTCATCTAGTAGGTTAACATTGGTGATCTGTATGTGTTTTTCCAGTGGGGCCGGCGCTGCGAGCCGAGCTACAGGTCGGTGGTGCCAGTGAGACTGGTGCACCAGGGCTGCTACAGCAAACGAGTCTACCGGCCCCGGTACTGCGGCCAATGCACCGATGCCCGCTGCTGCACCCCCTACCGGACCAGCACGGCCACAGTGGCATTCCGGTGCCCCACAGGCAGGGTCCTATACCGGGCAGTCATGATGATCCAGTCCTGTGTCTGTCACTACAACTGCCCCTACTCAGCTTCAGGCCCCTATGCAGATGTACCCTACTCAGGCCCTTCACGCTCATACAGGATCCCTGCCATGTGGGGCTAGACTTGACTTTTGATTCAATCCTCTAGACCCCCTTGAGAACCAAGTGTGTCCACCGTGGCTCTCCACCTCAATCTTTTCCGCATAGGGCTTTTCCCCAGGAGATCTCCACTTTACTACTTAATGTAAGTTATGTTAGAGATCTAGAGCCCTATCCCACCCCCCTCCATGCACTGACACTTCCATACTGAGACCTGTATACACAGGACTGTCCCATTGTCCATACTAGTACACTACTTGCCAAATACATTTCTGAATACATGCCAATTACATTGCTTCTAAGTGGTATACATGTGTGGATATTGGAACAGAGCCTCTCTCTATCACGGCTGGATCCAGCAGGTGTAGCCTATACTTCATAGGATAGATAGGGGAAGTGAAATGGTCTTCTAGGTAATTAACTGGGACTGAGTTGGGGGGATAAAGCCCTGACATGACTTGACAAGCTCAGTCTGCACTAAGACCTCTACTCTATTCCATTTGATCACCTCTCATAGGGTGACCTCATGAGGAATAGAATAGGTCAATAAACCCTAGTTAGCTAGGCTGATCCCAGGTCTGTTTGTGTTTTCCTCTACTACATGGTCATTGTCAAGCCAAAAATTTGGCATGATGTTTCCACAAGGAGTTGGCAAGAGAGCAGAAACAGACTGAAAGAGCTACTGTTTAGCATATTGAAGTGAATACTGTAACACAACACGTCTTGTTTACTGATTGACCAACTGTAGTATGATATGACTAGACTAGATGACACCTGACCAGAGTCATTTGTTGCCTTTCTTGACTCATCTTAGGTCCCAGTGTTTCTCCTGGCCTCGTGACCTGACTTAGTTGAGTGAATAAGTGTTGTTACTTACATTTTCGTGAATTTCTTTTACAGAATGACACCAATCTTTGAGTTGATAGAGATTGTATCTTGACATGCAAATGCCATCTGCTATATTAGTTAGTTTGTTTGTTTGTTTATAAATGTGTCTATTTTGTGTTCTTAGTCAGATGTAATTGCACTTATTTTCTATGTTGCTGTAAATATAAACCATTCTTATGCTTTTTGAAACATACAATTGTATCGCTGATTTTATACTTTGTCCAAACAGTTTTCCATTCACAATGCCTTTTTGTGTAAAGCTTGAGCTCATTTGTACATTGCATATTATTCATGAATTATATTACTATATTGAGATGTTGTTGTTGTAATTTCTGCTGTAACTTTCCCATAAAACTCCTTATGATTGATTAGTAATTTGTGTGCTGATATAGAATTTCAACAAACACACACCATAGCGTCCCAAATTCAGAAAGCCATGTAACTTCATTTTCATCTAGTGGCTTCTATTGGACTCACAGTATCAGTGCAAAGAGTTGTGTGATATGAAACTGAATAGGAAACTGACTGGTTCTAAATTTATGTAATTTATTTTGTTGTAAAATTACTGAATGTTGATCTTGATCATAAAGTTCTGTTCTAGCCTTTCCTCAAAAAGCATCTTGTTTCAAACCACCGTTACACAACTGAACGAAATAAGGTGAGAGGTAAAACTACCTATAAAGTGAAAGGGAAAGGGGAATACCTAGTCAGTTGTACAACTGAATGCATTCAACTGAAATGTGTCTTCCGCATTTAACCCAACCCCTCTGAATCAGAGAGTTGGGGGAGGCTGCCTTAATCGACATCATCTATATTAATTCACTGTGTGTGTGTGTGTGTGTGTGTGTGTGTGTGTGTGTGTGTGTGCGTGTGTGTGCGTGTGTGTGTGTGTAGACATGTCTGGTTTCCTGTTTGTAGTCAGGAACTGAGTCCCTACTGATCATCTCAGAATGATTCTGTATAGAGAGTCAGTGGTACAGTTTGTCATAGAGCAAATAGCACTTTCACACAAAACATTGTGAGAGAACACATTCCTCTATCTTTCGCAATCTCAATGTGGAGCTCTGAGAATAAAAACTGAGCGACTGACTTCTTCATTCATCTTGAAGTAAATACTTTTTTTTCATTCAACCTTTATACAGGTTATTCTCACCCTTATAAGATACATTTCTTTGGGGGAGAGAAAATGAAGACTAACTCGTCCTGCGGACAAGTTAACATGGAATTTACACACACATTCTTACCTGCAGTGTATATGTCAGTATTCATAATTGGTCTTGTTGCTAACTGTTTGGGACTAAAATCCTTGTTTGCGAACTGGAAGAAATTCGGAAATATCAATGTTTTTGTTCTGAACCTTGGAGTGGCAGATATTCTGTATTTGCTTACACTTCCATTTCTGTTTGCATACTACTCAGCAGACAGTCACTGGAACTTCGGACAAGTCTTCTGCAAGATGACACGATTCTGCTTCAATTTGAACTTGTATGGAAGTATTGGTTTCCTCACATGTATTAGTGTATACAGGTACCTGAGCATTGTCCACCCACTGAGAGTGATGGGTAGGATAACTGGTGGCCACTCTGTAGTTATCACTGCTGTAGTTTGGGTTTTAGTCTGCATTCAGAGTCTTCCTGATGTGTACTTTGACAAAACATTGTCCAACTCTTCTTCAGAGAAAGAAGCATGCTTTGACACCACCTCTGACTTCTTTACCAAGGATTACCTGGACTACAGTATTGCGTGGACAGTGTCTGGATTCTGCATCCCTCTGCTCATCATATTGGGTTGCTATGGACACGTGGCTGTGGTTCTCTCCACCAAAACCAACATCGACCAAGTGATGAAACGGAGATGCTTAAAACTGGTGTTCCTTGTGACTTTACTCTTCTCTGTTTGCTACATACCGTATCACGTATTCAGGAATCTAAACCTGAAAACTAGGATTTTGAAACAAGAACGCATGTGTCAGGATTGGTTCACTGGCATCTACATTGCTCACCAAGTCAGCCGAGCCCTTGTATGTCTAAACAGTGCCATCAACCCGTTGGTCTACCTCCAGGGTAATGAGGATCTTCTTATGCAGATCACCTGGCTTTGGCAACGAGCTCGCCAGTCTGTCCCTCAGATATTTAACCATCGCATCCAGGGACAAGCTTCAGCACCATTGTGAGTTCAGCACAGCATTCTCATTGCAATACTAGACAGAGTAGCTTTGTTTTGTGTGCTTGATAGTCAATCTGCATTTCTCTCCCACTCATTAATCTATGTCTGCTATGTTTATTACTGTTCATTGATTAAATGGGGAAGTTCAAATGATAGTTTATGGCTTTCTATAGGTCTATTGTGTGTTTACTGTGTAACTTCTCCAAGCTGTACTGTAAATATGATGATATGGAAAGTATATTCTATATCAGCTAAATGTCAGGGTTGCATTTTAGCTCCTGTGTTGATCTCAACTTTTACTAATGACTAGGGAAATGGGATGCAACCAGCCAAGTTGCATCTGTATGCAGATGATACGGTCATCTATTCAAATGCTCCTTCTCTGGTTGAGGCTATTGAAGAGCTCCAGACTGCCTGTCAGTCACTGCAGACCTCTCTGTATGGTCTCAAACTGGTCTTGAATGCAGAAAAAAACTAAATTCATGACCTTTACCAGAGCTCACTCTCAGCCAGAGAAGGTTAGCATTTTCACATCTGGAGGCACATCCATTGAAAAAGTGTCATCCTACAAATACCTAGGTATCAAATGAGTCTGGTGGGAGGAGCTATAGGTGGACAGGCTCATTGTAATGGAATAAATGGAAGAGTATAAAACACATAAAGCATATGGAAACCATGTTTAACCCCGTTCCATTAATTCCATTCCAGCCATTACAATGAGCCATCCTATAGCTACTCCTACCAACCTCCTCTGCTAGATATGTCGTTGGACAACAATCTGCCCTTTAAAGTTCATAATGGACAATCTTGTGAGGAAGCGAAAACTGAAATTGGGTTTATATTTTCGTAATAAGACTTGCTTCCTGTTCGAGGCTAAAATTAAGCTATTTTTTCACACTCATCTACACACAATACCCCATAATAACAAAGTGAAAACATGTTTTTAGACATTTTTGCAAATCTATTGAAAATGATATACAGAAATGTCTAATTTACGTAAGTATTCACACCCCTGAGTCAATACTTTGTAGAAGCACCTTTGTATAGCGATTACAGCTGTGAGTCTTTCTGAGTAAGTCTCTAAGAGCTTTACACACCTTGATTGTGCAACATTTGGCCATTATTCTTTTCAAAATTCTTCAAGCGCCGTCAAATTGGTTGTTGATCATTACTAGACAACCATTTTCAGGTCTTGCCATAGATTTTCAAGTAGATTTAAGTCAAAAATGTAACTTGGCAACTCAGGAACTTTCACTGTCTTCTTGTTAAGCAACTCCAGCATAGATTTGGCTTTGTGTTTTAGGTTATTGTCCTGCTGAAAGGTGAATTCATCTCCCAGTGTCTGTTGGAAAGCAGACTGAACCAGGCATTCCTCCAGGATTTTGCTTGTGTTTAGCTCCATTCTGTTTCTTTTTTTATCCTGAAAAATTCCCGACTCCTTAACTATTACAATCATACCCATAACATGATGCAACCACCACCATGCTTGAAAATATGGAGCGTGGTACTCAGTAATGTGTTGTATTAGATTTGCTCCAAACATAACACTTTGTATTCAGGACAAAAAGTTAATTTCTTTGCCACATTTCTTGTAGTTTTACTTTAGTACCATGTTGCAAACAGGATGCATGTTTTGGAATGTTTTTATTCTGTACAGGCTTCCTTCTTTTCACTCTGTCAATTAGGTTAGTATTGTGGAGTAACTACAATGTTGTTGATCCATCCTCAGTTTTATCCTATCACAGCCATTAAACTCTATAACTGTTTAAAGTCACCATTGGCCTTATGGTGAAATCCCTGAGCGGTTTCTTTCCTCTCCGGCAACTGAATTAGGAAGGACGCCTGTACAGTATCTTTGTAGTGACAGGGTGTATTGATACACCATCCAAAGTGTAATTAATAACTTCACCATGCTCAAAGGGATATTAATTGTTTGCTATTTTTTTACCCATCTACCAATAGGTGCCCTTCTTTGCGAGGCATTGGAAAACCTCCCTTGTCTTTGTGGTTGAATCTTTGTGTGAAATTCAATGCTCGACTGAGGGACCTTATAGATAATTGTATGTGTTGGGTACAGAGATGAAATAGTCATTCAAAAACCATGTTAACCACTATTATTGTACACAGAGTGAATCCATGCAACTTATTATGTGACTTGTTAATCAAATGTTTCCTCCTGAACTTATTTAGGCTTGTCATAACAAAAGGGATGAATACTTATTGACTCAAGACATTTCAGCTTTTCATTTTTTATTAATTTGAAACAAAATGTCTACAAACATAATTCCACTTTGACATTATGTGGTATTATGTGTAGACCAATGACAAAAAAATCTAAATTTGTATCCATTTTAGATTCAGGCTGTAAGACAACAAAATGTGGAAAAGGTCAAGGGGTGTGAATACTTTCTGAATGCACTGTATATGCATGCAGCCTCTTCTGTGTTGAAGAGACTGGACTGTTTATTATGCATCCTTATGCTTTGTTACAAAGGATCAGTCACTCACCCACCATTGCCCTTTGTACCAAATGGAGGGTTGGACCTAGCTTTATATGCGCAGACAGCTACATTGGTACGTGTGGTACAGGGCG